CCTATTAGATACAGAGTTCAAAATATTGGTTATAAGGATGCTCAAGGAACTCAGTGGGTCTCTTGTATACTACAAGAGCATACAAAAGACCCAGGAAGAAATGAAGGATATACTAACTGAAATAACGAACAATTTACAGGAAATCAACAGTGGAGTGGACGAAGCCAAGAACCAAACCAATGATTTAGAATAAAAGGAAGAAAAAGACATCTGGTACAGCATGAAGAAAAAAAGAATCCAAAAAATTGAAGACAGCGTAAGAAGCATCTGGGACAGCTTCAAATATTCCAACATTCATGTCAGAGGGGTACCCAAAGGAGAAGAGAAAATGCAAAAAAATTGGAAACCTATCTGAAAAATAATGAAAGAAAACTTCCCTAAATTGGCAAAGGAAATAGACATACAAGTTCAGGAAGCACAGAGAGTCCCAAACAAGATGGACACAAAGAAGACCGCACAAAGACACATCATAATTAAAATGCAAAAAAATAAAGATAAAGAGAGAATCTTAAAAGCAGCAAGAGAAAAGCAGATAATTACCAACAAAGGAGTTGGTAATTAAACTGTCAGGTGGTTTCTGAAAAGAAATTTTGCAGGCTAGAAGGGATTAGCAAGAAGTATTCAAAGTGATGAAAAGCAAGGACCTACATCCAAGATTACTCTATCCAGCAAAACTATCATTTAGAATGGAAGGGCAGATAAAATGCTTCCCAGACAAGGTAACGCTAAAGGAGTTCATCATCACCAAGCCCTTTCATATGAAATGTTAAAGGGATTTATTGAAGAAAAAGAAGATCAAAACTATGAACATTAAAATGGCAATAAATACATAACTATTAACAACTGAATCTAAAAAACAAACTAAGCAAACAAGTAGAACAGAAAAAGAATCACAGATATGGAGAACATTGGGATGGTGGCCAGTGGGGAGAGGGGTCTGGGATAATGGGGTAAAAGGTGAAGGGATTAAGAAGTACAAATTGTTAGGTATAGAACAGATGGGGGGATGTTACGAACAGTAAAGAAAATAGAGATGCCGAAGAACTAATATTCATGACCCATGGACAGAACTAAGAAAGGGGGATCACTGGAGGAGATGGAGGGGGGCTAAGAGGGAAAAATGGGGATGACTGGAATAGCATGAACAATTTTTAAAAGAAGACCAAATGTGGTAGAGACCGTGTAGAGTTCAGCATGTCAGTACTGATGCTGCACACTGCGTTACTTACCGTTTGGAGAGTGCCTTTGACTGGCTCCAGACAACACATTTCATATGAAAGGGCTTGGTGATGATGAACTCCTTTAGCTTTACCTTGTCTGGGAAGCACTTGATCTGCCCTTCCATTCTAAATGGTAGCTTTGCTGGATAGAGTAATCTTGGATGTAGGTCCTTGCTTTTCATCACTTTGAATACTTCTTGCTAATCCCTTCTAGCCTGCAAAATTTCTTTTCAGAAACCAGCTGACAGCTTTTGTAATGTTGTCAGTGAGTAGAAGGATGCTTGTTATCCAAAAATCATATTACAAAATAAAAATCGTACAGTTTAAGATTGTGGTAGTGAGAATAACACTTTAAAAAAATCAATGTCTAGCCCTGGCCAGGTGGCTAGGTAGGAGCGTCATTCCATACACCAAAAAGTTGTGGGTTCGATCCTGGTCAAGGCACATACCTAGGTTCTGGGTTTGATTCCCCAGGTGGGGCTTGAATGAGAGGCAACTAATCAATGGTTCTCTCTCTGGTTCTCTCTCTTGCTCTCTCTCTCTCTCTCCCCCTATGTCTCTCCATTCCCTCTCTCTTAAATCAATAAACATATCCTTGGGTGAGGATTTAAAAAATAAATAAATGTATATTCATTAGCATAATGTCGGGCTGGAGTGAGCCCTCAATAAATATGAGCTAGTATTATGTTTATTATGCCCCATAGGTTTTGAAAATTACTATGTAATTTTTCTGTTTAAGGTTCATAATTTTGAAATTTATGTATTAAAAAATAATTATGGTCCTGCTGGTGTGGCTCAGTGGATGGCGTGCCGGCCTGCAAACCAAAAAGTCACTGGTTCCATTCTCAGTCAGGGCACATGCCTGGGTTGTGGGCCAGGTCCCCAGTAGGGGGTGCATGACAGTCAGTCACACATTAATGTTTCTCTACCTCTCCCTCCCTTCCCTTCTCTTTAAAAATAAGTAAATAAAATCTTTAAGAAAATAATTATGCGTTTCAGGTAATCTACATTCTTATTTTTCTTTTCTTTCTTTTTTCTTCTTTTTCTCTTTGGCTAAAAGAAATTAATCTATTACTATTTTGTTTGAGTTAATACTCAGTTTTCTTTTCCTCTGCTTTATATGATTCTAAGTATGTTGGTGTAACAACTGATGACCATTGCAGATATGTGGGGCTTTCTGCTTGTCTGGATCTAGTTCTGAAGTGAGAGAGGGAGGCTTGTTCCATCTGCATCTTCTGGCCTGTGAGGAGGTCTGTACACGGAAGGGCAGGAAAGTGGGAAGGGGCTGCAAACTCCCAAGGAACACATGGAGGGCGAGGATGCCTATCGGGAGTAATACTCAGTATTGCCTGGTCCAGTCTCCACTCTTGGGCTGTGTTACTTTGCTCTGGCTGCCATAACACAGTACCACAGATCAGGACGACTTAAACAACAGAAATTTATGTTCTCACAGCCCTGGAGGCCCGAAGTCCAAGGCCCAAGTGTCCACACTGTGGGTTTTTTCTGCGGCCTCCCTCCTTGGCTCCGAGATGCCTGTCTTCTCCCGGCGTCTTCCCTCCATGCGCACCTATCCAAATTCCCTCTGTTCACAGGGACACTGCTGGAACTGGGTTAGGGCCCATCCCGATGACCTCATTTTCACTTAACCACTTCTGTAAAGACCCTGTCTCCAAATATGGTCTCCTTTTTGGGTCCTGGGGGTTAGGACTTCAGCGTATAATTTCAGGGGAGGGACACCATGTAGTCCACAACATAGGTCGATTAAAAAAGGAAGACTGTCCAGGGAGGTTTTTGCTGTCATGTCAGGGAGTCGAAGTTCTGCGTGGGCCCAGCACTGTCCTCCTGCACTGCAGTGAGAGGGGACAATGAGCGGTCAGGCTCGGCTTTCACGGGCAGCCGCTTGGAGGCACAGACAGCTCCTGAGCCAGCTGCATCCATCATTCCCCAACATCTCTGTAACGTGAATTTGCATTTTAGAAAGTTCAAATGTGGTTCTATGTTCATCTTTTTTTCCCCTCAAGACCTAGGAGGTTTCATATCTTCAGAGTACTAAGATATTTGACAACCCGCTTTCTTTCCTCGGAGAGTTCCTTTTCCCTCTTGACTCGGTGGGTACGGCTGCAAGGGTGCAGACTGGGGCACTGTAAGGGCGCCTCACTGATGGCTTGGTTTTACATGTACATTTTTCCCCTGGATGTTCTGGGATTCATTATCTATTCTTGAAGTTTGGAAGCTACTATGTATGTCATGTGATGCTTTTTTTTTCCTCTAAAATCTATTTTCAGATACAAGACTTTATCTTGGGAATTTTCTTTATTATTATCATTGGATACTTCATTTCGTTTGTGTGCATCTCATCTCCAGGAAAAACTAGTGTTGTGTGTATATTAGGCTGGCTTTTTTTTTTTCATTATTATCATCCTTTCTCTAATCAGTCTACCTCCTCACTTCTACCATTAGCTTTCGTTTCCAGTGTACTTCACATGCTTCTGCCTTCTTTTTAGAAGAATTGACTTAAAGTTTTGATGCTTCTAATTATGTTTTAATTTCTCTAAGGATTTTATCATTTCTTTCCATCATGTCCTGAGTTCTGCTGGTCCACTTTCGTTTCCCATGTGTTATTACTCACAACACCAGCAATCACCGTTGAGCTGCCTCTCACATCTCGCTCTGCTATTTTCTTTTCTGTGTCATCTTTGTTATGCAGTTCATGTTTGCAGCCCTGTGCTTATTCCTGGAAGAGGAAGCAGGTCCCTAGGAAGAGAAAACGGCGTGCTTGAACCTTAGTGCGTTTGGTCGGCACAGTGCGGAGGAGGGAAAAGCTCAGACGAGGATTTGATTTTGGTGTGGTCTCAGACTGCTTCCTCGCCGAATGCTCTCTTCCCTCTGCCCTGGGCACATTCCTATTCTGTGTGTGTTATACCCTACGCCCCATGAGGGGGGCGGCTGATTTCAGGTGGTATCCTTTGTTCCCTCCATGTGCCCATCTGGTCGCGGAGTCTGGCCGGGAATGGAACGAAAGGGATGTGTCGGCGACTCCACTGCGTCCCAGCCCCTCCACGGTGGTGTGACAGGGAAGCCTGTCCCCGTGGAGAAATTCTCTCCTTCATCACCAGCCCGCACTTATTGATACCTGTCACTGTAAATTTGTATTCAGAATTTCTAAGAACTCCTCATTTACCTTTGAAGATATAGATTCCATGAGGAAAAGAGCAGAGAAAAAAATGGACTTTCAATGGCCTCCTCAACTTATTCCCAGTTTCACTGTGTGGCACATATGTGATCTGCCCACATAGTGGCACATGCACAGTCTTGTCACACCGTGGTTCCTTAAGTTTCACAAAATATGGGGTTTTATTCTCCATGAAAAATGTATCTCTAGGTTTTTGGGTTTTTTCAGCTTTACTGAAGTACAATTGACAAATGACTTTTAAGATATTTAAAGTGTACATTGTGATTTGATACATGTACACACTGGGAAATGATTCCTGCACTGAGTTGTAACACCTCCATCACCTCAAATAAGTTCCTATTTTTGTTTTGGTGAGAGCGTTTAAATTCTACTCTTTTAGCTGATTTCAATTATACAATACAGTGTTATCAGCTATATTTCATGGTTTTCCAGGAAAAAAGCTAGGGTAAGCAGGTTCTTAATTTTATTTAACTTTGAAATTGTCAGTGTAGCAATGACTTTAGGTTGGGAGCAATGAAACATCCCTTTCAAGTGCAATGTCAGCTTCAGAAAACTGGAGGGTCTCATGTTACCTCTTTTGTTTGCAGGCAGGAAGCGACTCCAGTTGAGAGAGAAAATCGAAGTCAAGATAAGAAAAGTAAGTCTTCCCTCACCAGTACTTGCTGCACCAGGACAGCTGTAAATTTAAACATCCAAATTAGCTGTGGTTCTGACGCTCCCTTGGGACTGAAGGAAGCAGTGCTCGCAGTCTGAGTCCTTCATTTTTGTCTCATAAAACTGACCTTTTTATTCTTTGTATCACGACACTACCTACATATAATTTCTTTCAAGCAACACTTAGTAAACTTCTATGGGAAGCAATTAGTCAAAATCCTACTGATTTTAATTTTTTTATTGTTATTTTAAAATAGGGCTGTTTTAAGGATAAGGTATTGTTAAGTGTCTTTTTTGCTCATGCCTTTGCTCTGTTTGACTTAGTATCTAGGTGTAGTAATCATGGAATTATTTTAAAATGGACAACTGCAAATAACAACGTGTAGCCCCTTGGGACAGGCATATCTGAAGGAAACTGGCTTTTCTCATTGCTGTTGCTTCAGCTGTCTTCTCGCGTTACAAGCCCCCTCAAGGAATGGCCTCTCCGTGCCCCTGGAGCTCTGCATTTCCAGTCACCCCTCAGCTCCCTGAGTGTACTTCATGGTCTATGAAATGAATGTATTTTGCCAATATCATCATGACCATAAATGAAATAACACTCTCAAAAAGCATCAAAGCACCTTGCATGTAAAATTGTCCTATGAGACAATTTCTTAAATTCACTGAAGTTAACATTGGTTAATAACATTATATAAGTTTCAGGTTTAAAATTCTATGATGCATCATCTGTATATTGCCATGTGTACCCACCACCCAAAATCCAGTCTCCCACCATCACTGTATATTTTACGCCTTTCATCCTCTTCACCTCTCCCCACCCCCCTTCTCTGATAACCACCAATCTGTTGTCTGCGTCTATGAGTTTGTTTTGTTTGCTCGTTTATTGTTTTTTGTTTTATTTCCCCACATATGAGTAAAATCATATGACTCTTGTCCATTGTCAATGACGTGGTTATTTTGATGGTACGTACATAATATATATGGTTGTACTAATCCATGGTATAAAGTCTATTTTTGACCACAGGGCATGTTGAATGCCTCTGCCCAGATGTAATTACTAAAGACCCTAAAACACAATGTTCATTCTTAATTTTGACCACCTCATCTCTGGCACTTACAAATGTTGCTCCACATCTCTCTCCTGAGGTGGCCCCTTCCTCCATGGGACACCACGCTTCACTGTGCACCCTTGGTCACAGCCACTTCTCTGTCACCTCACCCTGCCCTGCCTGGGCACACCTCAAATTCAGGTGCTCCTCAGTGACTGGCCTTGGAACATTTTACTTTCTTACAGAGTTTGTGTAGGATTGATCTTATTCCTTCTACTATTTGGTAGAATTTTCTGGTGAAACTATAGGATCGTGGTGATATTGTGAAAAAGTTTTTCACATACAGATGCAAATACTTTTGTAGTTCTAAAGTACTCACATTTTGTTTTTCATTAAAATTTCAGTCCTAAGCTTAAAATTATTCACTATATTCTTATATGTATTTTATTATACTTTTTACATTTTAAGTTACAGTTGACATACAATACCATATTAGTTTCAGGTGTACAACATAATGATTTGAAATTTACATACCTTATGAAGTGACCCCCCCATAAGTCTACTGCCCACCTATTTCACTTAGCATATTACCCTCTAGGTCCATCCATGTTGTCACAAATGGTAAGACTTTATTCTTTTTTATGGCTCAGTAATTTTCTACTGCATGTATGTACCACCTCTTCTTCACCAATTGTCTGTCAGTGGGCACTTGGGCTGCTTCCATATCCTGGCTATTGTAAATAATGCTGCGATGAACACAGGGGTGCATATATCTTTTCAAATTAGTGCTTTGGATTTCTTTGAATAAGTACCCAGAAATGGGATTGCTGGGTCCTGTATTAATTTGATATCTAATTTTTTGAGGAATCTTCATACAGTTTTGCATACTAGCTGCACCAATTTACAATCCCACCAACAATGCACAAGGGTTTCATTTTCTCCAACATTTGTTGTTGTTTGATTTGATGGTGGCCCTTCTGACAGGTGTGAGGTGATATCTCATTGTTTTAATTTGCATTTCTCAGATGATTAATATGTTGAACATCTTTTCACATGTCTATGGGTCATCTAATGTCCTCTTTGGAGAAATGTCTGTTCATGTCCTCTGCCCATTTTTTAACTGGAATGTTTTTGGTGTTAAATGGAATGACTTCCTTATATATTTTTAATACTAATCCCTTATTGGATGTACTGTATCCTTGGTGAATATCTTCTTCTATTTAGGAAATTGTCTGTTTGCTTTGTTAATGATTTCCTTGATTGCACAGAAACTTTTCAGTTTGATGTAGTCCCATTCGTTTATAATATCTTTTATTTTCCTTAACTGAGGAGACATATCCAAAAAATATTATTACTAAGAGTGATGTCACAGAGTTTACTACCTATGTTTTCTTCTAGGAGTTTTGTGGTTTCAGGTTTCACCTTTATGTCTTTAATACATTTTGAGTTTATTCCTGTATATGGTATACAAAAGTGATCTAGTTTCATTTTTGCTTGTATCTGTCCAATGATCCCAGTGCCATTTATTGAAAAGACTGTCCTTTCCCCATTGTATGTCCTTGCCTCCTTCATCATAGACTAACTGACCATATAGGCAAGGGTTTATTCCTGGGCTCTCTGTTTCGTTCCATATATCTATGTGTCTGTTTTATACAAATATATGTGTCTGTTTTGATTACTACTACCTAGTAATATAGTTTGATATCAAGTAGTGTGATATCTCCAGCTTTGTTCTTCTTTCTCAGGATTATTGTGGCTATCTTGGGTCTTTTGTGGCTCCATGTAAATGTTAGTATTATTTATTCTAGCTCTGTGAAAAATGCCATGTTATTTTATGATTGCACTGAATCTGTAGTTTGCTTTGGTAGTATGAACCCTTTAATGTTTTTAATTCTTTCTATTCACAACATGGTACAGCCTTTCATTTATTTGTATCTTCTTCAGTTTCTTCAATATCTCATAAGTTTCTGAACACAGGTCTTCATTTATTATAAATTTATTCCTAGGTATTTTCTTTTTTTAAAAAAGATTTTATTTATTTAATTTTAGAGAGGGGAAGGGAAGGAGAAAGTGAGGGAGAGAAACATCAGTGTGTGGTTGCCTCTTTGGCGCCCCCTACTGGGGACCTGGCCCACAACCCAAGCATGTGCCCTAACTGGGAATCGAACTGGCCATCCTTTGGTTCGCAGGGCCATGTTCAATTCACCGTGCTATACCAGCCAAGGATTTAAGTATTTTCTAATGCAATTGTAAATGCAGTTGTTTTCCTAACTTATCTTTTGGACAGTTTATTATTGCTATATAAAAATAAAACTGATTTCTGAATATTAATTTTGTATCCTGCAACTTTACTGGATTCATTTATGAGTTCTAATAGTTTTTTTGGTAGAATCTTTATGGTTCTCTAAATATAATTTCATGTTATTGGCAAATAATGACTATTTTGCTTCTTTCTTTTCAATTTGGATACCTTTTATTTCTTCTTGTCTGATGGCTGTGGCTAGGACTTCCAGTACTACGTGGAGTAATAGTGATGAGAGTGAACATCCTTGTCTTGTTCCTGATCTTAAAGAAAAAGCTTTCAGAGTTACACCACTGAGTACAACATTAGCTATGAGTTTGTCATTTATGGCTTTATGATGTTGAGGTATATCCCCTCTACTCTCATTTTGCTATGAATTTTTATCATAAATGGATGCAGGATTTAGACAAATGCTTTTTCTGCACCTATTGATAAGATGATATGATTTTTATCCTTCATTGTGTTTATGTGGTGTATTATGTTAATTGATTTGTGGGTATTGAGCCAACCCTGCATCCCAAAAATAAATTCCACTTGATCATGGTATATGATCTTTTGGTGTATTGCTCAATTTGGTTTGCTAACATTTTGTTGAGGATTTCTGTATCTGTGTTCATCAGGAATATTGTTGTATAATTTTTTTTGTAGTATCATTGCCTAGTTTTGGTATCAGGGAATTGCTGGCCTTGTAAAATGAGTTTAGGAGGATTCCCTCCTCTTCAATTTTTTTGGAACAGTTTGAGAAGGATATGTATTAATTCTTATTTGAATGTTTGGTAAAATTCACTATTCTTATGAGTATTTAATATTAGCTGGACCTATAAGGATGCCACCTTGCTCATATCTAATGTTATTTCTTTGCACGCTTTCCATCTATTATTTGACTATCAGTTTTACTATAGTTCATTAATTTCATTAACATGTTGTGGAACAAATTTTGTATTTTATCAACCCTCTATCACAGGAAAGTCTATCTCTTGGCTCAACTTCAAATGATATATGCCTTACACAAATTCTAATGGATTCACCAAGTATTTTGCTCCTTTTACAGGAAAAGGAGATACAAATTGGTTTGGATGGGGTTATTTTGAAATAATTCAGACTACTAATTCCCATGTAACTTCACTGAGGTGCAGTCCCCTTCATTTTTTTTTAAACATGCTATGTATTTATACTGCCTGGGGTAACCACCCCTTCTTGATCACCAGCATCTGTCAGCCTAATGTACTCTATGTTGTAGACCATTATGTCCTGTGGACACGATCAATATTCCTGCAGAGCAGATTTCCACAGAGAGACAGAAATCGATAAAGCCCTGAGATGCCACCATAGCTGCACTGGTTTCCCTCCATGGGAAATCAATGTGTGTTAGACACCTGCTGTTGTATTATGTCAGTCAAGTAAGCAGACCTCATCTGCAACAGTAGATGCAATTGAAGCTGCCATCTAATTAAATTTATGACAATGTCCAATACCCAGCCATTCTTTACACAGGTTAAAAAGGGAAATTAAATGGGAAATTATTAAAATCAAGACCTCTATATCTTTTCAATAGTCAAATACATAACTTCCTGATTTCATTGGGGAAGCCAAATTGCTGTTATTTTGTTTGTTTACATTCTATGTGGACCAAGTCACAAGAACTGGTTAGGAGAATTAATGTGACAGTGCTCTCAGTTGGTCAGTGGGTCTATTTCACGTATGTTTTCAGGTCCTGATGAAATTCACAGGATGTGCTTGTGGATCCTTTCTGCTCATTAGAAACAGACACAGGAAAATGTTTTCCCTCCACTCTGATTAGTGGTTTCTTTCAAAGCAATGTCTTTGGTCCTCTGATTAGCTAAAACACATAATTAATCAAGTTTTCCTAGTAGAAAATTTTCAACAAAAAAATTACATTGTAATTTTCAAAACCTGTGGAGCATAACAAATATAAGTGATTATTCATATTTATGGAGTGCTCATTCCAGGCAGGCAATGTTACAAGAATTTAACCTTTCCTCTAAATAATATTTTTTTCTGTGACTCATGTATTCTTAAAGAAAATACTAAAATTTCCCAATATTTTGCTACTTTTTATTTCTTCTTGGATCTGAGTAATTTTTAATTTCAAACATTGTTTTATACTTTTAGTATTAATTTATAAATTTATTGTATTACAATCAGTTTCTGTGTTATTTCTGCTTTATGGGTTTTACAAAAGTTCTTTGTTATATATTATATATCAACTTTAACACAAGTTACTTATATTCTTTAAATTTTGGTTTCTTCACATGGAAAATAGCCTTAAAATTAAAAAAAATACTACAACTTTAGATGGTGGTTGTGAAAATAGCATTAAAATGGTCTATTCATTAAAACTATGCCTTATTTATTGAATTAAAAATTTAAAGTAATGGTTGTATCATGTGCTGCAGAAGCAATGATTCAATACCTATCTCTATAATGAGTGTTCATCTTTTAAAAGGTATAATTTTCCTGTGATACTTTCATAGAAATTATGTCTTAAATTTATACCTTTAATCATTCTTCTTTCATACCTGCTATACTCTCTTTTCATAGCATGTTTGTGGGCAAATTTGTGTTATCTAACCCCCAAATCCACTGCTCTTCAGGTTGGGTGTATCACTTCACAGAAACACGGTGCTGCCTCGAAACACTCGTTCTTCCTCGATCTTGTCCGAAAGCCTGGAAAAGCTGTGCAATGATGAGGCACAATGCCGGGCATGCAGATGCCAGCCTCTTTATGGTTTTATCACTGCATTCTATCCTTTTTACCTCCCCCCCCACCCCACACTGGGGTGGTCCAAAACTCTTATGCTGATTTCCTTTTATTTTTATCCTCCAGGTAAAGAAGTTTCATCCACTTCTAATCAGGTAATAAAAACACTGCATCTGTCTGATAAGTGTCAAAATCCAGATGACTTTACATAAGCACAGCTGTAAGTCTTTACGTGCAAATTCTGAACGCACTGATCAATGTTTCTCATATTTTAAATAATACTCTTGGTAATTTTTAATTTTTTTTTAATTTTGGTCATTTTAATCCAGAAATGAAAATAAATAAAACATTAAAAAATACTTTAACACATTTAAATGATTGGAAAGTTCTTGCTGTTCCAATTCTACTGAAGTTTATTGTTTTAACTTTCAAAATTATTATAACAAAAATAAATGAAATCAAATAAATAGACACATAATTTGACCTCCAAAAAGCATCAATCCTTTTTAGTTCAGCACATTTGTTTCCATCCTTTTGTCCATGAATTAACATTTATATTTAAAAACATGGTGGATATCAACAAGCTTATGAAAATAGTGTATTCCTTTTAATACTACTATATCACAAGCATTTTGTTAATTTGATTATTATGAAGCATCTTAATTTTTAACTTTTTCTTTATGGTGTATGCCCATGAATTACAAGCAGCGTGCCACAAGAATTTGGGGGGGGCACTGACTTCTTTCCTTCAGATTGTCAAATTTAAAAGATGACAACAGCCAACACAACAGTAGCCATCCAGTATGCATGAATAAAAATTATACCTATTTCTTTTCTAAGATTGCCAAAATATATATATTTTGGTATGTTGCAGAATTATAGCAATTAGATTGTGTCATGAGATTTAAAAAGGTTGAAATTGAAGATCCAAGATGAAAGAGGAGCAAGTAGAAGCTACACTAATCTTCTCCCAGGACAAATTGAGAATTGCAGAGAAATCACCCTGAATAACCAACTGGACACTAGCTGGAAAGAAGCCTTATAACCATAGAGAGACAGAAGAAACGACTTTGCCACATCAGGACTGATAGGAAGCATGGAGAAGGTGTGAGAAGGCTGGCTAGGCTCCCACAGGTGGCAACTGAAATGCCAGTGGGACATTTCAGCATCCAGGGGCTTCCCTCTGAGAAGTGTGAGCTCTAAATGCCGAGCTGGTCCCCCCAGCCTACAGCATCAGAGCCAGAAAAGAACCCAGATGACATCCAGCTATGAAAAGCAGCAGGGGTTCTGTTGGCCAGGGAGAGATGGCTCGAGACTCAGAGCCTCTTAAAGGGCCAAAATACAAAATTTCATTTGCAGCCACTGACCCTGGGCTCTGGCAGAGGGAGAGCAGAGTGGACTAGAGACACTTGAGGAGAATCTGGTGCCGGTGGTTCTGGGGAGAGAACTGAAGAAACAGCCTCCAGGATCCCTGTGCTGAGTTATGCCCCATACAGCAGAGTCCACCTTCTCAGGCAGAGCACTCCTGTCCAAATGGCATCAGCCTGAGGGTAAGCAATAGGCTGTGGATAGGAATCACTCTGCCCCACCCTCTGGTGCTTAGGCCAGGCTGCTGATTGCAGTTTGATTAAATTAACAACTGGTATGTTTAACAGCTGCTTAGTTTAACATCTAAGGTAGAAAAATACAAAGTAGCAGCCAAAATGGAAAGACAAAGAAATAGACCCCAAATGAAAGAACAAGAGAATTTTCCAGAAGAACTAGATGAAATCAAACTAGATAAAAAACTGAACTAACAAGGAAACTAGATGGAGAGTAGATGCTAGCTAGTGGGAGTAGGTAGGTGAGGGGGTGGAGGGATTGGGCAAAAAGGAAAAAGAACTCATGGACACAGACAACCAAGTGATGATTGCTCCAGGGAGGGGACTAAATGGTAATGGAAAAAAATACAATAAAGAGTAAATTTTTTAAAAAGTTTGAAATCACAGGTGTATGCGATTGAAAATGTACATAAGCAGGCAGACAGGGCAGTGGCCTGGAGGTGGCCCACTCACGTTCTCAGGCAGCGCTGAGGCAGCTGCCCAGGGTCTGGCCCCTCCCCTCCCCCAGTCTCCCTTTCCTCCTCCTTCCCCGCCTCTGTTGTGGTTCTCTGGGGGACTAGCCTTGCCATGGGCACCACAAACTCTGGCTGGGGTCAACTCACTATCCTGAAAGTCCATCCTCCCAAGAAGAAGGGACAGAATGAAAGACCACTTTGTAAGAAAGTCCTTTTTAATACATGAATGAGACTGCAGAAGACCAATGGGAGGACAGCAGGACTCCCAGGCCAGAAATTCGGTTCAGAAAAGGGCACCAGCTTGATGTCACAAGGAAAGGTGATAATGACAACCACCAAGGAGATTTGGAGCCTTGTTTATTATTTTTTTATCCTCATCCAAGGATATTTCCATTGATTTTAGAGACAGAGGAAGAGAGAGAGAAACACTGATGTGAGACAGAAACATTGATCGGCTGCCTCCCCTAAGCACCCTGACCGGAGATGGACCAGCAACCTAAGCATGTGCCCCGACCAAGAATCGAACCTGCAACCTTTTGGTGAATGGTGATGCTCCGACTGAGCCACCTGGACAGGGTTAGAGCCTGCTTTACAAGTATCTGTTCTTTCTTCTCTTCATGAAAAGAGCCCTGAGGAACGGGAGTGCAGTGACGAGATTTCTCAGGAAGGGAAGTGTTCATGGGTATGTCCCCTCCCTGACAAGCCTGTCATGCTGTGGGAAGAATGGAAGAGTTTGCTTGCAAGATGTGAAAGGTTCGTGAGAGTAATCTCTCATGATGTGCTCCCAGACTGGCTCAAGGATTATGAGTTCCTTTTACATGGACACTGCCCCCCTGCGCCTTCTTTATTGGTGATTGATTTCTAGAGAGAAGAAAAGAGAGAGAGAAATGCTGATGTGTTGTTCCACTTGTTTATGCATTCATTGATTGATTCTTGTATATGTCCTGACCAAGGGCCGAACCCCCAACCTTGAGGTGTCAGGATGACATTCTAATCAACTGAGCAATTTGGCCAGGGCCCCCCATGCCTTCCTTCCTGGCCTGTTTAAGAGCATTCTCAGAATATGCACAGAGACAGGCAACGTCTTCTGTACCTGGGATCTTTACATATATTTTGCCCAAACATGTCCACTGTGGCAACTCTGCAAGAGACAGTGGTGTGTGGATTCTTCCTGGGATCCGTCTCTGCCTTTCCTTTTCACAGCTCTCCCACAGAGTCAACCGCCACTGAGAAGGGGCGTCTCCCGACTCTGCTTTAAACTGGATTACTCTGGTATTGCTCCTTTGATTATGCAGAATTGAATTCTGTTCCTTGGTGTCACTATTCTTTCTACTATAATCCACAACCTCACTTCATCTGCTTAATTGTGCTGTGTGTGTTGGGCATTGCAGCCATTACAGTCTCCTAGTGGGGCACGTCTGCCACCCATCAGCACCAAGGAGTCAGGGCTGGCACGTCTGGGGGCACAGGCCTGAGTGAGCCATTCCTGCCTTGCACTGTGTCATCTCCGAGGGCCTCCTGAAGGCTGCCACAGTAAACGACCAGCCTCCAAATCACGCGGACTGCCTGTATGCTACCTGCATCCGTGAATGCCTCTCTCCTGGCAAGTGTCACGTCTGGTTTCACTCCCATCAGCTGTTCCACATCTTTGTGGTTGCTGGAGCTTTCGTTCACTCCCACAGGGTCTCACACCGAGGAGATTTCCATGGTCAGCAGAGGCCGCGGTGAAGAGGGTGCACTGTGACACCTGGCCGTAGCCGAGGATCAGGATCCTGAGCCAGGGCCTCCGTGCCTGTGGGCCGCCCTTCCTGGCCATTGGCGCCAGTATCAGAGGAGCCCCCAAACTTCGACAGCCTCGTGGGCTTGGTGATGCCCCAGGGGTGCCTTGTGGTACATGACAGAGAAGAGAAAAAACAGAAATAAACCATCCCACAAAGGGTAGAGTGCATCTTTGGAGAAAAGGAGAAATGGCCCAAACCCCGGCGTGTTCTTGGGATGTACCGACTGAGGGCCCTGCGGGACCCTGCAAACTGGCTGTGATCCATTCGTATTTATTTATAGAAAATGGGGAAGCAGTTTAGCTGGAGCTCCTTCATCTCCCATTCTCTCTCCATAAGACACCAATATAAACCGGTTTAAGTGAACGTTTCATGTATTCTGCCATGCACCCACATTTCTGTGCACATTACACACGGGATTATTATACCCATTATCATACTCATGGCGTGTGATCATTACCCCCATGTACAATGCGCAGCCTTATTTTTCCCTTAAAAATTTGGGCAAAAATGTGTGCATTATACACAGCAAAATATGGTCTATCTTATTAAAAGGTGGGAGTGTGATTTTAGATGCTCTCTTTGGAGAAAAAATTGATGTAAATAAGATATCTAACTTACTATTTAAATAAGAATTTATGTAAATGTTTAAAACATAAGAGTAGGGGAGGGAGGGAGAATTTCTGTACAGAATGAAGCATGCAAGTACCGCAAACTGTACCAGTTTCGCACGGAGTGATGGCTGTGGGACCAGGCGGAAACCCCAGAACGCGCAGAACCGAGGTGCCCAAGGTGCCTTCTGAAGGCCCACACACCTGGGACCGGGTGAGCGGAGAGCGCAGCCCCAGCCGCGGGGTCACGGGACCACTCGGAGCGCTTGGGAGTCCCGTGGTGGAGGGAGGGGCTGTGTAGCAGCAAGGGAGCGGCAAACGGTGTTAGGTAAAGGCTCTAGTTCAGGTGTCCTTTGGGAGGACCCGCTTGTTTTCTGTGCCCGACCCTCTCTGAGGAGGACAGCCACCTGCTTGGGAGAGTCCGTCTGCGGGCGGGCAGGCAGTGGAGAGGTGCGCACAGGGGCTGACTGATCACCTCCTGGCTTCCAGTTCAGTTTTGTAGTGATTTTTACGGGACTGCGGGGAGGTGATGGTTTTCCATATCCTTGTTACGGGGCTTTGCAATGCCCTGGAAATGTCCCTCTATTACAATCACTGCCCCAACCCCGCTTCCTCCTCCTGGAGGTAATCACTGACCTCCCTTTGCCCCCGCTCCTATCATGGTTCCTGGCACCGAGCCAGCCACTAAGGAGTCCACCTTGTCCAGGTGTGCGCTGGGCTCCTCTTCCTCTGCTTCCTCTGGATTAGGAAGACAGGTCCACCTCTGGGACACTGTGTGGAGAGCTTCACTATGACAGATCCGTCGGCTCTCCTGAACAAAAAGGCCAGCAGAACTTTTTGTAAAGCAGGACCTGATACCCAGCATAGAGTTATAACCAGTCCCTGAACCTGGTTTTTAAAGGATGACATGGTGGGAAGTTTTAAAAGGGAATTATATTTTGTTACAGGGAGTCTGGTAGAAGCTTTAAAGCTGTATCTTTGCAGAGCTGCTAGAAGTGAAAGAGATTGCTCATGCCTGAGATGTACCCTATCTCTGGTGTCAGGTGGAGTGGTAGAGGAAGAAACAGGTTTGCAGCATCCTCGTCTTCGGAGACCCACCCAAATAGCACATGAGTCTTAGGTTACTTACCATCATCCGAGACTTTAGGTGACCGTCACATCCTGGGGATTGTGGATATTAAAACTAAAACAATGAGGCCCTAAGTGTGGGGCACCCTGAACTGGGTGTTTGGGATTATGGAATTTATTCCGCATAGGGTTTTCTCGGTTCTTTTTCTCCTTTCTCCCCCCTTCCAATCTCCAGCAAAAGCTGGGAACTAGCAAGAAAGAATCCGTTGTAGAACTTGGGAGAAACTAAGAGTGTTTCATTCTGGACAAGGCCACTGCCTGGGTGCTAGGTGGACCCAGCAGAATAAAAAGCAGGCTCCCTCCCCTAGGGGAGTCAGCCCAGCAGGATGCAGCCAATGGGAAGGGCGGTCACAACAGCACGTGTCAGAAGCCAGACTGGCTCTATGGTCATGCACTGGGATGTGGGGCGTAAGATGCAAGCTCGAAGCAACACCAGCAGATGAGCAACCCGTGGGCCCCATCACCCTGCACCCCAGAGGAGGAGCTGAATCTGCTTCAACCTAGTGCAAACCCTTAGGAAAAGCGAAGTTTAACATCGACGACATAGAGTGCAGTAGAAATCTCTCTCTCTGGGGTGCGTGAGTACCCATTTGTGTGTGTGTCTGAGTGCAGCTCGCTGCGCTCCATCTGACTCTTGGTCTCACTGTCTCGCCGACGGCTCTCCCGGGATGGCGCCCAGGGGCCTCTCTCTCAGCGGTCAGACGCTTGCTTGCCCTGTGCAGATTGTTCATTTTCTTCTTTTGTCTGTAGGCTGATCAGGGCCTCTACAGCGTCATTCTATCACCAGTAAATAGTGGCCTTTTCCAATATATTTTCCCTTCCCCGTTATAAATTGCTGAAACCACAAAGCATGTTTGGAGTGATAGAAGGTTGGGGCTTCAAAAGGCAACTGGGTGGTAATTCCAGTCACCATGGAATTGCCCTGCTTGCTGTGGTCTCAGCTGCCAATAGAAAGAACCAAATGGAATATGACAAAAAAGTACTTACACTCTAAAGTTATTCATTGTATTTAATCTAATAAGTACTCATAGGTATGTAACTTGATTAATCCCTTACTGAGTTCTGTCTCAACATCTGTGACCTACAGTAACCTCGTATGCAAGTGCTTTCCTCCAGAGCACAGGTGCAGACACAAGGCCCGCGGGCTGAATCCGGCCCTCCACCTGGTTTTATCCAGCCCAGCACCTCGTTCCTCCCCAGCGGCAGCGCCGAGCTCTCGATGAACTGTTAAGGAGTGGTTACATTTATACAGTCCTAAAGTTACATTCAGCCCTTTGAAGGCAACCTCGAGGATGATGTGCCCCTGCCCCGTGAAAATGAGTTTGACACACCTGTTCTAGATAATTAGAGGGACCACCATGTTCTTCTTTCCTTTTGTTATACGAAGTGAAATAAAAGCAGAGAGAGTACTAACAGCACATGCAGGGCACGGCAAATGTAGGTTTACCATTTTTTTCATATGGAAACTACCATAATTAATAAATAATAGTAATACAAGAATAAACTGTTTCGAAAACTCACAACTGTAAACCTACTTTTGCCACCCACCCCCAGTACGCATCACTAAGCTGAGGTCTCTCAGACATCAGGGCCCAAGGTGCTGGGTCAGAAAGGAGGAGGGACAGGCACTGAATTTCAGCTTGATGGATAGTTCTGCAGCCTTGACTCCTCTTCTCCTTCCTGTCCTTGTGCCCGGCAGGGAGCTCAGCACAGTGCGGGTTCTGACGAAGTGTGCTACACCGTCATCTGCCACAGGCCCTCCTTGAGCTCCAGCGAAGGTGGCTACGAGAACATTGACGCTGTCACAAAGAGAGTGAAAGCCCAGAACGAAGAGCCAGAAACCGAATACACCCTCCTGAGGGCCATGCACACCTCCAGGCGGCCCTCCTACACCCTCGAGCACGATTATGAACTTGTGCTGCCCCAGTAGGCCCCTCGCACCCTGTTATGGCTTCTGGGGAGGTCTCTCAACACTCAGCTCACAGAACACCCACTTCGCCAGAGTTGAGAAATGGTACCCTTCTACCACGCGGCCTTGGGAGACCCTTCAACATGGCCCCGCTGAGTCTGTGCGAAGCCAGGTGCTGTGACACTATAAAGTGTTCTCCACCTTTTTGTCTGTGAGGTTTGAGGACGTGGAGATGGTGGGGCGCCTTTCTAGGACAATAATCACCCACCGGTATGTGACCCAGAACATTCCATTCCAATCATTGTCTCCAAATTTCAAATGCCAACATTTTCATTCCTAAGTATATATTTTATTTCTGATGTGTAAACTGCTCAATAAACTTTTAAAATATAAGGCCAGTGATGAGATCCTTTGCTAAGCTGATACTTCCATTTTGCCTTTTCTATGTGTGTGAAATTTTATTTGTGGTAATGTTTCAAGAATCGACAGTGATTGGTAACTGGGTTTCGTGAGAAGAGAAGCTGAGCGTGCCATTCATTGAAAAAGAAGTGCCTCAGGCTTAGCTGTCTGCTGTCTTTCTTTCAATAGTAAATAGAATGATTTTGTTCATATATCAGTAAAAACCAAAAGTGACCTTGTACGTGTAGCTCTGCTCACAGCGTACTGGGGAATTAATTACCCAGGAACTACCTCTGCTAAAGTTACCTCTGTTAGTTACCTCTGCTAAAGAAGGGGTCATCTCTGATTTTAAATTTTAGGCAAGTGGATAAATGACCCATTCATTTATATTTTCATTCCCAAGGAATTTTTAACTGAGGTGCCAACTTCCCAATGAGGACACAGGCTCTAATGGACAAAGCATCCATGGTTCATTTTTCTGTATCATGGCCCTTTGGCTGTGGACAAGCATCCGTCAGTAGATGGACACGGCTGCCAATCATTTTATGCAAGTTTTGACTCCCTGCTCTTCACTAGTTCTTGTGCTCTTTTGTGGTGATTTCAAGGTCTGAACAGAGACCATCATAGAAATCTTACAATTGTGAACAGTCACTCTGTCAGAACTATGCCAGTCTTGTAGAAATCAGCTAAATTTAGGAAATGACAAAATTAGTTACTCTCTATATGCCTTTGTATTTTAATATATAATAAGTGTCATTTAAAGTAAGACTGAGTAATTTTTAATTGTGTAACAATCTGGAATTATAGGAGAAGGGGTAGGCGATAGACTCATGAATACTATGTGTTTTTTTTCATTTAATCTTTATTGCATTTCTTCCATTACCATTTAGTCCCCATATACCCCCCTCCCCCAGCAATCACCACACTGCTCTCCATGTCCATGAGTCCTTTTTCCTTTTTGCTGACTCCCTCCACCCCTCCCCTCCTCCTCCCAGCTGTCGTCTGCTCTCCGAGTCTGTCCCCTGTGGAATCTAGTGAACAAACGGAATAACATTGTTTAATAGAAGAATCATTGAAGTTCAAAGGCACAAATGTGACCTAGTTGTGGACAGACCACTTAATCTTTCTGAGGTTCAGTTTTTCAGCAAAAGAGAATTTTCAAAATTAAATATCTTATGTGGTTTTGAAAAACAAAACTATTGTTGTAGATGTGTTTTTAACCTGTAAATTGTTTTCTAAAGGTTAATTTATTTTTGTGCATATAAACACTTGGAATTTTAAACTTGTATATATCTTTAATCAATTTGCATACAATAAAATGTAACCACCATAAGGAGTTATATAAATTTTGTCAAATGTATCCATTTCCCCCCTTCCCCATTCATGTCATTCCAGAAAGTCCTGTCATGTTCCTTTTCAGTCAATTTCACCAGTCCTGGCAACTAATGTCCTGCTTTGTGTAACTAGATCAATTAGTCTCTTCTGAAGATGCATAAAAATTGGTCCTTCCAGTATTTGTGGTGTTTTTTACATTCGGGCATTTTTTATTCATCACATCTTTAAGATTCTTCTATGTTTTACCTTGTATCAGTAGTTGACATCTTTTTTCAGGGCATACCTCTATATAGATATACTATAATTATAAATCGAATCACTTGCTGATGGGTACATGAGGTATTTACAGTTTTTGACATCATGAACAAAGCTGCTACAAATATACTTGCACTCCCAGGTATGTGTGTTTGCAGGGCTGCCCCAAGACAGGCTCGGTGGCTTAAACAACAAAAAATTCATGTTCTCACAATATGGAGCCTGGGAACCCCAAGATCAAAGTATCAGTAGATTTGATTTCTCTGAGGCTTCTAAGGGAGAAACAGTTTCATGCTTCTCTCCCAGTTTCTACCGAACTGAAAGTTCTAGGGATCCAATGGTATGGGGCGTCCTGAGATACTCCTTCTCAGGTGAAAAATCATTTAGTGCACCTGGCCCCTCCTATGACCAAAAGTAAAGGCACAGCACCAGTGAACCTCCATGGATTTTGGAGACAATATATTAATTTTTTAATTATAGTTGGTACACAGTATTATATATAATAGTTTCAGGTGTACAAATAGTGATTCGACATTTCTATTCCTTACCATGTGATCCCCACATTGAGTCTAGTAACCATGGAGACAGCACCCTCTTCCGTTGGGTGTGCAGCTGTGAGACACTTACCAAGTGAGTAGAAGCTGATAGTTTTCTTCTCCTTCTTATTGAATGTAATGATGTGAGACTGGCTGACAAGACTATATAGGTTTCAGGTGCACAGTTCCACAACACATCACCTGTACACTGTAGTGTGTGTTTACTGCCCCAAATCAGGTCTCCGTCCATCACCGTTTATCCCCCTAGACCTTCCTCCAGCCTCCCTGACCTGCTCCCCCTAGCGAGTTTTTCCCCTTTTGCTTAATTCCTCTACCCTCCACGCAGCCACTCAACACCCCACACAGAGCTGTCAGCCTACTCTCTATGAGTCCGTCTCTGTTTCACTTGTTAGTTCAGTTTGTTCATTAGATTCCACATATGCATGAAATCATATGGTACTCGTCTTTGTCTAAGTGTCTTACTTCACTCAGCATAATGCTCTTCAGATCCATAAAAGCTGTTCAATCTCTTGTGAGTCAGTGATCTTTCTCTTCCTGGTGAAGAGACGAAGACACCCTCACAAAAGAAATTTATTTGCATTTTGATATTCAGAGCTTCTCTTATGCCTGCAGTTTTTTTTAAATAATCAGTTCAGAATAATCCTTATGCCAAAAAGGTGTATCTGGAGTGGCATATTCTGACATTGTTCACCAACGGCACTGGCATTTTTTGTCAAAGGAGTCAGCTACGTTGGGATTCTTTTAATTTTTCGTCACCAGAATCTCCTTAATGATCAATTTCTTTTTTGGCTATTTCTGTAAGTTAACCTGTTGAGTATCACTATCCTGTCCAAATGCCACATCAGTAGCACTGAAAACTGTACCAGCAGCCCCTTGCCCAATGTTTTCATATAGTGTGTATTTTTTCTTAGGGTCACCTATGGTCACATAGTTCTCAATTTCTCCATAATCTTTTCATCTGTCATTTGGTCTCTGTTTGTGAAAAGACTTGGCACCCCTACCACCATTAGAATCACCAACTGGTGTAGGAATGGGTGAGTTACAGACCACGCGTAAATTGATTTTGTGTGATCCGCTGGTGGGGCAGGAACGAGAGCAGCAGCCTCTTCATCATCATCATCTTCCTCCGTTCCTACACCTGACGTTTCTGCTCCCTGAGTGTTCACGCTGGGGTTCCAGAAGGGAAGCCAGCTTTCTCCGGGGGAGGAAAGCTCAGATGTTCCTGCTTCACTGTGTGGGAGCCTCGGAACGTGATGACGCCCGCACAGCCTAAGGATTCTTCTTTCACTTCAGCTCGGTGATGCTGGGAATCTGCAATGACGGAGCCCACCGCTCTAGCCTGCCCGAGAATTCTCCAGGGACAGCCTCAAAGCCTACAAGGACGGCGTGCTCAAAGCAGATGGACGAGAAACTTCTGACTGTTCCTTCTCTTTTTCCTTCCTTCTTTTCTCTCTGCCTGAGGCTATAGAGGTGATTTTATTCCTGGGCTTTTTCGCTGTGAAACAGAGAGGGCGACGGTTTCAAACTGTGATGGGCTGACCAGGTGCTAAAACCCGTACTGCTCCTTCTCCCGGCAGGCGCGGGGGCCTGTCTTCCAGTTCTCCGCGATCAGCAACAGTCCAGGCGGAGGACAGCGCCCCTGGCGGGGAAGGGTCGCAGCCCGGCCCGGATCGGCGCAAGCTCCCGGCGCTGCAGAGGCGCCGAGGACAGCGCACCGCGGGCGAGCGGGGAGGGCGTCCTGGGGCGGCGGGGCTCCGAGGGGGCCCTGCGCGGCACAGCCCAGCCCCACGGCCCAAGCACCGGGCCCTTGGTAGGGCGACGGCCCAGGCCGGAGGGCTGAAATGGAAAAGCTGATTTTTTTAGGATGAAGCAATGAATGCCCTTTAATTTTCTTCCCGGGGCCCGGTGTTCTGCGTTTGTTCTGCGTTTGTCTGTCGGACTTTGGCCTATGCTGTTGTTACTAATTACTTTTTTCCCTCGCGTGTTTTCAGGGCAATGACAGCGGTCGGAAGAACACTTCAGGGCGTGCTTCCCGCTGCTCTGTCGGCCGCTGGCCTCCACGCCTACTGGCTCCAGTTTCCACTTTTCGATGAACTGTGTACCCCTCTCTACAGCCGGTTCTCCCACTCGTAGCCTAGATCCTGTCTCTCTCGCCACCTCAAATGAAACTGCTCCAGAATTTTATTCTCTCTCCTACATCATTTCCCCCCTCTTTACAGTATTCAAGCAACGCAAAAAAAGAAGTGCTATTTTATTCTAATCTACAAGACCTCTCACCCTAGATTTTTTTATTTTTTTCTTCCCTTTTGAAGCAAAAATCTTGTTATCTTGACTTCCTTCCTCAAATTCTTCTTTACCGCTGGCTCTTACATCCTCTTCGCCCACATTTCACATGACCATACTGGAAATACATCTCTTTCTTTAAGTGGCATTTATTTTATTTTATAATACCTGAATGATACTTTCTCACATAAGATTTTCTTTTTCTTCCTGGCATAATTACTTTCCTTTTTCTTGCTGATAGAAGAAGAATGAGGCGCCTTGACCTCATCCCCAGTCTTGTGCAGATTCTCAATCACACGGCGGGTGCCTGCAGTTCACCTT